ACTTTAGCTTGCCTATGGAAATTTTGTCACACTTTTTGTGTCTATGACATGTGAGGTTCACTGCTTATAAAAAAAATCCTTGCCTTAAGTGTGGCTAGAACCAAACAACTATCTAATTTGGTCAAACTTGACTAAGATTAGGTGTGGTAAAGTGTGACAAGGTGTGGCTAGAAACCAAACAGCCCCTAAGTGCAACAATGAATTCAGAAGGTGCCCGCTGGCTATCATGGACTCACAAGTCACGGTGTGCGTTTTAAGTACTTTTCTCAGCGGAAAAACTTTCAATCTATTCATCTTCAATCATGACAGTACAACGAATAGCAGAAATAAAAATTACATCCAGATCCGTAGACCATCTAGCAACGACTACAAGCACTAAATCGAGCCGAAGGCACGCCGCCGTCATCGCCCCTCCATCGCCAGAGTCCGGCACAACTTGTTGTAGTAAACAGTCGGTAAGTCGTCGTACTAAGACCCCATAGAACCAGCACACCAGAAAAGCAACCGCCGTCAATAAAGAATAACGTAGGTTGGAAGGATTCAATCCGAAGACACATAAACGTAGGTATTCAAAGGCACGAACTCTTGATGTTTTATCAAGTGCAATGTAAACAAAATACTGTAGTACACTAAATAAAGCTAAATGTTACTAGTACTTTAGCTTGTAAAATAATCTTATATTATGGGATAGAAGAAGTAGTAAACTAGAGTTATAATGATATTATATCGCTTCTCCACTTTGATTTTGAACCGAAGGGCAGCGCTTGCACCTGGTTTTTCGATTTTTGGGTTATCATCTCCTTACTAGAGAAAAACAGACCAATCCACCCCCTCAAATAAAACAACCAATCCCATTTAGAGTTTATATGCGGGGTCATTTTCAGATGATTAGATTTTGCATCTTCCATCCTGCTATAGGTCCGGTAATTTGCTATCAGTCCAATTTCTCAAGCCCAACACCGTATCACACCTTGTCCATCTCTCAAGAGCTAAATTTGATTCATTGATTCATTCGTTCAATGGGATTCCGATTTCAATTTTGATTGGATTGGAATTTGATTATAATAGTCATGTTTGGGTGTCACACGGAAAGAAAATTCTTCGTTCTACAAAGTTCGTTGTTACGAATTTGAACCGCACTTCACACGGAAACCAAGAATATGTCATGTGTACGATTTTGTGAAACTTCAACATTAAAATTTTCAGCCTCATTGAGTCCACACTATAATTTTTTACGAAATTATTGAAATTCGGGACGACACATGTGCTAAGGAGCAACTTGAGCCTATTGGCTGATCTGCTCGTGTGAAGATGGTTATTAAATTTTACAAAATTTTAATTTTGCATTTACACAATAAAATTTTAACAAAATTACTTGAAAAGTTATGATCAACTAGAGAGAGCGGAAAAAGTGGTGAAGAAGGGAGTGTAATATAAAATAGGGTACATCATGTGGCTGCTGGTTAGTGAAGTGCGGTAACGAAAAATATACATGCATTAAAATCATGTCATGTTCTAAAGGTGATGACTTACTTCTTGGGCTGTTTTCGATCTAACCTTCGATAGTTGAACTGATTGAACGTCGTTCTTGGATAATTTCGTGGTAGTTTCATGTCATTTCCTTTTCTTATAGCCATGGTGGGCAGGTCTAGTGCTCCAAACATGTGCTCGAGATGAAGAAGGACAAAGGTAATTAATTCTTTCTTTTCAATAAGAATTGATGAGCTAAAAAAAATTCAATATCAGTCATGGAATATAGCAATATGAAAAATAAACGAAAACACTAACGCCCACACGTGTGGGCGTTATCCAACTCGCTCACACGTCTGGATCGTCGTTCACTGTCTTTTGCACGATTCTTGACACGAAAAGGTGGATTTGGCGTGCCATGTAGGACGGGGCTGGTGTGTGGGCGTTGGAGAGTTTGCCCACACATCCGCACCACGCTGTTTGCCAGCTACATTGTGTGGGCGAACTGCTTTTCGCCGACACAGCCACCAACTAGGTCATGCGCGTGTGGGCGAACTGTTTTTCGCCCACACGACACTACTACCTTGTGGATGGCAACTGCAGTTACGCGAACGTGGCAACTCAGTACACACACATGGCAACTGTGATTCTTTGCTACATGGCAACTGCAGTTACGCGAACGTGGCAACTCGGTACACACATGGCAACTGTGATTCTTTGCTACACGGCAATTGCAGTTGCCCGTACGGGGCAACCAGATAAATACACATGACAACTGTGATTAACAATACATGTCAATTATGGTTGGACCACACGTGGCAACTAGATAAACACACATGGCAACTACTGTTTTGACCATATGTGGCAAGTAGTTAATCACACACGGCAACTACGGTTTGATTACACGTGGCAACTACCATAAATTAGACATGGCAACTATAGTTAACCAAAACAGATAGAGTTGCCATGCTTTTACAACTACACTTGTCATCCCGGATAACTACACCTGTCAACCAGGATGGCAACTAAATCGTCATCCCGCGGGGTACCTAACGTAGCTGCTTCAGGACGTGTGGGCATTTTTGCTTCGTGCCACACGCACGGGGTGGAGATGAGTAGTACTTGTTGGGCGTGTGGCACGAAGTAGCCGCGCCCACACGTGTGGGCAATTCTAATGTTCATCCACACACAGCCCATGTGGGCTGCCTCCTGCTCACACCACACACGGTATGTGGGCGCATGTCGTATATGCCACACGTGTGGCAGTTATTGGCGTCCAAAATAAATAGCTAGACGGATGATAAATAGACAAAAGTTGGGTCACCAGACGTAATTAGAGTAAAATCACTCCCGATACATCATCTTTTGGCGTCGTCTCTTAAGAGTAGTGAATATGTTATTTTTTGTACAACTACCACCAATGCATTGTATCTTACATGTTTTTTTTGGTAGACCTCACTTTTGTTCAAATTACTCACTCCAGTTGGATGCTAGTTTGAGGTTTAATGATAGTTTGAACATGCATTAGATTGCGTCTAGAGACCAATATTAAAGCCTCTCACCTCATCAATTACACGCCACATAGCAAAAAGTATGACATGAATCTCGAAAACACGGTGTCAAGGTGAAGCATTGGGACATGGCTAACCCATTTGATGCATGACATGACATGAGGGACTGTAAAATCGGACAAATTAACAAAGAAAGTTAATTGTTGTTAACTTATCTAGAATTTTCATTCACTGGGTTTAACCAATACTGGAATCTTCTCTTTCATTTTTAACTGCAGTATGAGATTTAATGATCTATGGATTGCATTGTGTGTTGAGATGGTACCTAGGTTGATTTAGACAATTATAGAACCTCACGGCTCAGTAATTATATGTCATGTAGACAAAAATCTGATGATAATACCTGGGCATCAAGTGGAGTACTGGGAGATGCCTAACTCATCTTATACTCCTACACATGGCACGTCAAGAGAGACGGTAAAACCAGATAAATTAACAAAGACTGTTATGTCATGGGTCTATCCGTTATACTAATGGAGCTAGACCTTAATCAATTCGGCTCCGGACACAAATATCATACTCCAACCCTAGTGGGGGGCTCCGTGCAAGTAGGCTGTTTGGTTGAAACAACGGCGGCTTCAGATTTTTACCTTTGAGGATACTATAAGGGTGCTTGAATCCAAGGAACTATTTTTAGTTTGACTAAAAATAGTCTTTTTTAGAGGTTAAAGTTCCAAGCACCCCTGACTAAACAGAGGCTAGAATTAGTCTTGAGGCTAAATTTTTTTAGTATAGGAAACCTACTAAAATATGTATTAGCCCTCTCTCTCCTCATTTAATTCCTCTCCTTTAACATATGCGAGTTCTGGATTGGAGGGTTTGGAGGATAATAAATGCTCAATAACTTGATTTTAGTCTCTTTAGAGCATGCTTGGATCCAAGGGACTATTTTTAGTCTGACTAAAAATAGTCTTTTTTAGAGGCTAAAGTTCCAAGCACCCCTGACTAAAGAGAGGTTAGGACTAGCCTTGAGGCTAAAATTTTTAGTCATAGGAAACCTATTAAAATATGTATTAGCCCTCTCTCTCCTCATTTAATTCCTCTCCTTGAACACATGCGAGTTTTGGATTGGAGGGTTTGGAGGATAATAAATGCTCAATAACTTGATTTTAGTCTCTTTAGTATTTGGATCCAAGCATGGGTGAGGCTAGCAAGTTTTAATCCCACTACTTTTAGTCATGGGACTAAAATGTATCAAGTACCCTCTTAGTATTTGGATCCAAGTATGGGTGAGGCTAGCAAGTTTTAGTCCCACTACGTGCTTGGATCCAAGGGACTATTTTTAGTCTGACTAAAAATAGTCTCTTTTAGAGGCTAAAGTTTCAATCGCCCCTGACTAAAGAGAGGCTAGGACTAGTCTTGAGACTAAAAAATTTTAGTCATAGGAAACCTACTAAAATATGTATTAGCCCTCTCTCTCCTCATTTAATTCCTCTCCTTTAACACATGCGAGTTCTGGATTGGAGGATTTGGAGGATAATAAATGCTCAATAACTTGATTTTAGTCTCTTTAGTATTTGGATCCAAGCATAAGTGAGGCTAGCAAGTTTTAGTCTCACTACTTTTAATCATGAGACTAAAACGTATCCAAGCACCCTCTTAATCATAGGACTAAAACGTAACCAAGCACCCTCTATCATCCAAACCCTCATCCGTTTCTACTTTCACCCCAACTCGATTACCGAGGGCTAATCGGCCGCTAATCCATTCGGCAATCACTCGCACAACCAGCCAACAAACGCTTTGATTAGTGATAGCCATTGTCGCCGCCGCGCGCACAGAAGCGGCTGACCCCGTCCCGTTTATAAATAGCCGACGACACCAACTCCGTGCAGCCTAGCTCGCTCCCCCACCTTCCTCTCGAGTCTCCATCCATCTTCAGCGGGCTTCGGTTTTATCCTAACCCTAACCTACCCCCGCCTCTCGCGGTCACGCCCTGTAAGCTCTAGCCTGCGCGCGATGCAGCCGACGGCCCGGGAAATGCAAGCCATGGCCGCCGCCGGCCAGATCTCCCTCGACGACCTGCGCGGCGGCCACGCGGGGGGCAACAATGGTGGCGCCGGCGGCGTGCACGACGACTTCCTCGACCAGATGTTCGGCAGCCTGCCGCCCTCCGCCTGGCACGACCTTGCCGCCGGGGCCAAGCCCGAGGACGGAGGGCAGGGCGAGGGGATGCAGCAGCAGCAACAGCAGCAGCTGTTTGGGGGCCCTTACGACGACTCGGTGATGCTGGCGTCGCGGCTCCGGCAGCACCAGATTAGCGGCGGCCCTGGCGGCGCCGCCGCCTCCGCGAAGCAGATGGTGCTGCAGCAGCTCGCCGATCTGAGGCAGGGCCACCACAGCAACATGCTCCTCCAGGGCATGGGCCGCTCGCCGTCCATCGGCGGCGGCGGCGGGGAGGGCGGCCTGCTGCTCCCACTCACCCTCGGCAACGGCGGATCGGGCGGCGACGTGCAGGCCCTCCTGAAAGCCGCCGCCAATTCCGCCGTACTGATAATCCATCTCCTTTTCTCGAATTACTCCACTTGCAGCCCTTTTTCTCCTCCCCGACCTTGACGAATCGAGAACCTTTTTCCTTTGCAAAAAAGTTAACGTTTTTATTCGCTGCTGGTTTCAGGGAGGGGACGCCGGCGTCTTCGGCGGCTTCATCGGATCGCTCCAGCAGCAGCAACATTTCCAGCCGCATCCACAGGTTTGCCGTTTGCAACACAACACATAGCTTTGCTTGTAAGATCTAACCTACCTATCGCGATGCCGCCGGCGCCGGCCCACCTTCTTTCCCCCTCCCTGACCGGCTTGCTTCTCGCAGCAGCAAACGGCGCCCATGCCGAGCCAGACCTTTGGCAGAGCAGGAGGTGCTCCCGGCGGCGGGGCGCAACCACAACAACAAGCCGGGGGAGGAGGAGGCGGCGGCCCGCCGGCGCCGCCGAGGCAGCGGGTGCGAGCGCGGCGAGGCCAGGCCACCGACCCACACAGCATCGCGGAGCGAGTAAGTTATCCGGCGACGCTAGCTGCTACTACCAGTGTAGTGTTACTGGCTATTTTGGCCGGCAATTAGGCTCATGGAGAATAAAACCAAGGGGAGCAGTTAGCAGTAATGTAATCTAATCAGTTCCCGTGTTTTGTTATTGTTTCCTCGGTTTGGATCGTTGTGGCTTCCGCTAACTACCATTATTCCTTTGTCCTTTTGGATGTCCCGCTACTCGGCTACTGTTCTTGTTCTTCTATACTCCTGTGCAGTTTACTCACATGGCTCCACGGACATCTTCTTCGTCTCTACACTAGTTAATGTTAGATCGATTTCTCCTAGTGAATGTGAACTAATCGTTGTGGCTGGTCGTCGATGTTTCGCAGCTTCGCCGGGAGAGGATCGCCGAGAGGATGAAGGCCCTGCAAGAGCTGGTGCCCAACGCCAACAAGGTGAGCAAAGATATGAGCTCCAGAACGACGATTGTCCATAGATTGTGCTTGTAGTTGTAGCGAAGCTAGCTTAATTTGATTCTTCGAGCCAGCTAGATCCAAGCGGTCGAAGACGAGAGCTTCATCACTAGGGTTTTGGTTGGGAAGCTGCTGCTTTATAATTGCATAGATCAATCAGTTCAATGCCGGCCGGGGATGGATTAAAATAGGGGCTTCAACAGTAGCCGATGGAACAAAAAAGTTGGAGCCATCAGGTTGAGATTTCATCGAGTTTGCTTTGCAGAGCGCGCGTGCGGGGCACATTTACCCGCACGTTGGCCTACTAGACCACCGCCGTGCTCCCTCGGCAACCGCGCGTGCTCCATGCTGGGGTCTGCCGGCCAAGGCTTTCCCGGGCCTCCCCTAGAATCCCTGCCGTCTTGCTCGGGTCTCGTCGCGTCGCTCGCCGGCCGGCGCCGGTTCCGAGAGCCTTGACTTGACGGCGCTTTTCTCTCGAGCTTGCTGCGTGCCCGTTTCCATGGTTACCTTTCGCTGTTGTTGCTCTCAATCTCAATCTCCGTGCATGACATGCGTGCGCGTTTCTGGTGTGGCCACAGACGGACAAGGCGTCGATGCTGGACGAGATCATCGACTACGTCAAGTTCCTGCAGCTCCAAGTCAAGGCAAGCTATGCTATGCATGATGGATTAATTTCCACAATCTACTTTGTGTTGCGTCATGAAATGTCGATCCTATGTATATGTGCATGATTACTGACGTCTATGCCAACATACACGCAGGTGCTGAGCATGAGCCGGCTGGGTGGCGCCGCTGCCGTCGCGCCGCTCGTGGCCGACATGTCCTCGGAGGTAGCCCTCGCTCGCCACTCGCACTCTCTCCCATATAACCAGCGCAGTACGAGCGCCCTCTTCCTCTTCGCCTCGATCGCTTTCACTCTCTCGCTCACTCTCTCTCCATCTTTTCCGCGCTCGAAAGAATCACCAGGATGTGACCAAACTTTTCAGCGGCACGGCCGATAGCCACTGCCATGCCACAGTGGCTCGCGTGCCGCCGCGCGAAATGACGCGGCTGCCCCGTGTACCGGCCGTCGTACGTCGTACCACTGTACTGATACGGACCATCTGCGTGTGTGCTTGTGCTTGCAGGGGCGAGGCGGCGCGGCCGCCGGAGCGGCGGACGGGAGCGACGGCCTGACGGTGACGGAGCAGCAGGTGGCCAAGCTGATGGAGGAGGACATGGGCGCCGCCATGCAGTACCTGCAGGGGAAGGGCCTCTGCCTCATGCCGGTTTCCCTCGCCTCCGCCATCTCCTCCGCCACGTGCCAGCTCCGCCCCCCGGCCGCCGCGGCCGGTGGCCCCTTCACCGCCGCGCAACACATGAGCGCCGCCATGCGCATGGGCGTCGGCGACGGCGGCGTCCCGGCGTCGCCGAGCATGTCCGTGCTCACGGCGCAGTCGGCGATGGCCAACGGCGGAGCCTGCGCCAACGACGGCGAGGGGTCGCATCCCAAGGACGCCGCGTCAGTCTCCAAGCCGTGAGCCAAGCCCGCGACGGCCGCCGCGCCGCACCACATACGAACGGCGGACGAAACCCTCGACGTCATCATGCATGACCCGGTCACCGCTCGCTTCCACGGTCGCATTTCCGCAGACCCGTGGGCTCCGTAGTGGGCCCAGCAGCTCCCACCAGGCCGCAGGCCCGGACCCCACTCCAGCGGCTGCAGCCCACGGGCACCCCTTTTCTTCTTTTCCTTTTCTTTTTCCCCTAATGTTGCCATTATTTTCTTTCCTCCCCTTTTCTCCACATTACTACTAGTTTTATCATAGCATCATGTTTGTTATTTAACCTAAGTATATATATCGATCAGGGACTGGTACTTCTGGTTTGGGCCAGCTTTGGCCTCTCTTTCCCCTCCATCTGCATCAGCTTTTCTCCCGCTCCTCATCTTTTTCCCGCCTTTGCCCGGCCCAACCTTTTCGTTTATTTTACACGCGCAAGTTTGTCCTTTGCGGTTGGATGCGGAATTTGGTCGCCCCGCTTTACTCACTAACCCACTTTATCTGGGTTGTTATTCCTCTCTTTGTGATATGTTTTCCGTTTTTATATCGTGTGGATGATGCTTGGAATCTTAGGTTGCTCGTTGTTATCTTGGCAGCTCATGGATTAACATGCATGCGGTTTCCTCCTCGTTTATATTCTACTCCCTCCGTTCCGAATTACTTGTCTTGGATTTGTCTAGATACGGATGTATCTAGACTCGTCTAGATACATCCGTATCTAGACAAATCCAAGACAAGTAATTCGGAACGGAGGGAGTACTAATCATGGTAGTAGCTTTGGTTAGTTGAGTGAAAGGGACGCGATTAGCCAACAGGAAAGGGGATATGCTATGATGGGTCTTTCTCCGTGGGGTGACTTGGGACTCAACCGGTCGGCGTTTGGACTTGGGAGAAGCAACGGTCTCGTCCCTCTTTCGTGCAAATTAAGCCAGCATTGTGTGCTGCCACCTGGACGTGTAATCCTTTGCAGGAGGAAGAGAGAAGTGAAGAAAAGGCCAAGGGGGTGAGAGAGGACTTGATATTCAGTCAAGCTTTATTTTCACCTCAGGAGGCGTAAGATCAGGAGGATTCGATATGATGCAATTTTTTTGTGGAAAGTGCAGATCAGGCGCATCTAGACGAAGATCGATGGTCTTTTTGAGTGTGGGGGGTACTAATGGTCCAAAGTCCTTTTTACTAGTAGTACAATAGTAGTAAGCTTTTCTCGTGTAGATATAATTGTTTTATGCCTTCTCAGGATAGTTTTTTCCCAGTAGAGGTCTTGCGATATTTTTTTTGCGGGGGAGGGGGGTTGTTCTTGCGATAATTGATAGAAAAGCATGGAAAAACAAGATAATTACAAAAAAAATCAAAAAAATACTAACCTATTCATTTTCAATCTTGACAACACAACGAACACCAGAAATAATAAAAATTACATCCAGGTCCATAGACCATCTAGCGACGACTACAAACACTGAAGAGAGCCGAAGGCGCGCCGCCGTCATCGCCCCTCCCTCGCGGGAGCTGGACAAAACTTGCTGTAGTAGACAGTCGGAAAGTCATGGTGCTAAGATCCCATATGACCAACGCAGCAGAACAGCAACCGCCGCCGATGAAGAGTATAGCGTAGATCGGAAATATCCAACCTAAAAAAACATAAACGTAAATGAACTATGACCAGATCCGAGCAAATCCATCAACGATAGATCCGTCGAAGACACACCTCCACACGCCCATCGATGATGCTAGACACACCACCGGAAACAGGGGCTAGGTGGGGAGAAACTTATTCCATCTTTAAGAGAGCCGCCGCCGTCTCGTCTTCCCGAGCAGGACACAAACACTAACAAAAGTTGAAGAAACATCTAAAAACAAAGCCCTCCCGCCGGCAAGGGTCGGGATCCACCGCGCTGCCATGGCCCTAAGGCCACCGGAGACGAGGACCCTAAGTTTTCTTGGGAAGGAGGCTAACATATCGTCGACTAGATAATTACATAATTGTTGAAGACAACAAAAATGCAAAAGATAGGTTCCTACAAGATGGCGGGGAGGAGATTTTTTGGGTGCTCGATCCGGCTAGGATATAAGTAGGGTTTCAGCCCTTGCAGGGACAATGTTTGGAAGGACGGCGACGCTTCTTCTTCGAGTCAGTTTTCCGGGCTCTGATCCTTCTCAAGTTCGTTCGCCGAGGCAGATTAGACAGAGCTCCGGCGTAGATTCCTGCCAGCTCCTCGAGGCAGCGAGGTTAGAGTTTCTCGTCATGCATACGCAACGGCAATATTTGGTGTCAGGATTTTCAGATCGATTCAAGAATTCAACGCCGACGACTGCGGCTCCGGGGCATTGGTCCTTAGGGGCACGCACACGAAGACTTTCCGGCTGTCATCAACAAGGTCAGTCTGGCTCCGGTATGGGAGCGACGTGTTGGTTGCTCGTTCTGGCAACGGCAATGGTTGTTCGGTGGTTCATGGACCTCAATGCAATTTTGATTATGTTTGAGGTGTTTTATACTTCCGGTGAATCTTTATAATAGATCAGATCCTTTTCGCAAAAAAATAGAATGGGTTCTATAATTGTTTTTGTGAGGATTTATAATTACAGGTATATCAAAATAAATATACTTTGTTGGGCGTGTAGAAACCTCATGCACGTCTTTATCTTGAAATCTACTCTTATAAAACAATCTTTTGGGTTTTATAATTAGCATATTTTTAATTTGTTTTTTTCTTGACATTGTTTGTTCTAAGGTTGCTTACCACATACACCATGTGGTTTTTCATTTTGGGTTTTATAGTTACTATATTTCAGCATAAGTTAATTGTGAAAGATATAGTAGTATTTAGTAACCTTGTCGATGTCCAAACCGATGACTCTTTTGAACGCCGGAGAGAGTAATGTTGTGTATGTATAAATGTTGTTCATAGCATGTCTGTATTGATTTTTTATGTGCAAGCACTGTTGTTGTTGATATGTGATAATAAATATGTTGATTCCTACACATATACAAACTTCTATCATCATATTTACCATAGAAAGATTTAATTTTTGTGAAAAGGCCGAAGGCCATATGTTTAGTCGACCAACCCTCAGATGAGGCCACCCTTACAGAGAATGAAAGTATGCACTGATCATTGGAAAAAAATCAACGCCGTCTTGGTGTTGCACTCACTGGCGATGCGCCATGAGCGAGGTTTGATTCCACCTTTGTAACACCATCGAAGCCGGGGCAACGTTGTTGAAGCAACGGCCTGTAAGTCGCCGGTCTGACTCGAACGATGCAGATGACACCGTAGCGGTAGATGGAGAAGGGACATGCGGCCTCTTCGAGATAAAACGGGAGAGTGATGGTGACTAGGGTTTCTGGAGAAGGAAGCGGCTCGGAAAAAGAGCAAGACGGATAAATTAGCCATAAATTTTCTTAGAAAAAAATAAACATATGAACATAGTTAGCGTCTCATTTTACCGCATGTGCGTGTGTGGGAGTCCCATATATAGCTAATGTGAAACCAACGAGCATATTCTTATGATGAAAATGTGCATTTCCCGGCAAAAGAAAAATGGCGGTGTGCATTTAGTGGGTTCCAAATGTTCCACCGCCATGATGTGAAAAAACATAACATGATTAGCGTCTCCTTATACCGCATGCGCCTATGTGGGAGCCCCATAGGCTAATGTGAAACCAATGACCCCGCAGATCGACAATGTGCGTTTAGTGGGTTCCAAATGTTCCGTCGCCATGATCCTTCGATCGATTGAAACTCAAACCGGAGGCGACTTCGCTTCGTTCGGCCGCTGCATGATTGATTTGTTTAGAATTTGTTGGATCGCACGCTTACCCCGTTGACCTCTCCTCGCAAAATATCTTCCACGCGCGTTGACTCTGGAGCCAGCCGAGACAGCCGACGTGTGCGCACCACGGCCGCTTTGCCTGGTTGACGTGACGTGCGTCCTCCGGCCTTTCCACGTTGAATTTTGCAGGACGAGGCACTAGCAGAAAACCAGGCGGCCACCCAAAAGCTACCGACCGGGTCGCCTGTGTCGTCTACCGGCGGCTGCCAAGTCAACCGCATGCAAGATACAGAGTACGTCGTCGAGATCCCCAAGGGAAAAGAAAAATCGGTGCGCACTTCGTAGTTTAGCACTGTTTGGAAGGAACCTCTGAAATTCTCTGAACCGTCTCTGAATTTTTAGGTGCACTCTTACACCGTCGCTGAATTTTTAGGTAGGCGTGGCTGGCTGAAGGCTGAAGCTGACAGGCAGATGCAGGCACGCTGCACGAATCTAGCGAGCCTGGTGCTGGTGGTGTGGGCCCGTTGACCACGGAACCATTAGCATGACAGCGCGCGTATCCGCGGAGGATCACCGCCCAAGACTGCCGTCTCAAAGGCGGCAATCATCACGCTCTGGGGTGCGGGGAAAGCCAGTTTGCTAGTGGGGGTTGAGTAACTTGTACCCTGCTGTCCTCTGCACTGCATGCGCCCCGTCAACATGCTTACAGCTTAATCGCGACAGTGACGTCGGGTTAATTAGCTCTGACGCGTGGAGGTTAGATGATTTGCTGATCGACGGCATTCGACAACGCCACTGAGTATTGATTAGTGCGGAGACTAACTGACATTGCTTGATCACAAATACTTAGGTGAGCAAAAATTGGAGCTATGGGGTGCTGGACGAAAAGGCGATCTATAATTTTTTCTTTTCAACATGATTCTTTTCGATCCGGTAAAAATGGATCGAGGATAATGCGCTGCGGCATCGGCAAGTTAGAGTGATTAAATAACAACCGAACTCAAAACTAAGTTCTCCTACAATACACTACGGTACAAAATTGAACAATCAATGAGTGGAATGTCAAACCATTCTTCCTTTGAACCGACCAGAGGCCTATAAGGGTATCTCCAGCCGCGTTCCCAAGAAGACCCTTCGAGGCATTTTTTGTCCGCCGGCGTAAAAAAATCAGCCCAGTCACGCTTTTAAGAGCCCAGTTTTCGCCGGCT